AACGAAAAACCAACAGACGATGAAAAGAAATGCCATTATTGTGGAAGGAAAGGACATTTGATGCGAGAATGTCGAACGAGATTATTCGATCAAAGGAAAGAACAATCCACCAATCGAAATAGATCATTTGACGCTTATTCCACACCTCGATATGATCAACGACCATTTAGGCCGTATCGAAATCAACAATTGCCAATTAGGCAAGATTTTCCGAACAATCGAGGAAATCAGACATTCCGAAACAACCAAAATTACCAAACATCTAGACAACAATTCCAGGGAAGAAACTATAATCAAACCAATCAACAAAGCTATAATAATAATAATAATCGTCGACCAGTAACACCACGTCCTACTCAAAGAACTTATCTTAACATAGGACCAACGGAGGACGATTCTACTATTGAAGAATCTGACAAAGAGTCTGAAATAGAAACTGAAGAATCTGATAACGATTCTATTATGGCTTTAGTAGCCACGTCATCCAAAAAGAAAATTACGGCCATGACTACCGACGCAGAAGTAGATGGAGTCGAGTTCAAATTGATTATCGACTCTGGATCAGCCGGAAGTATTGTCACCACCCGGTTGCTAAAAAAATTAAAAAGATCAATCGACGGACCATCTGACACCAATATCATCACTGCTAATGGAGAGCAAACTACTCCTATTGGAAAAATCGATAACTTTCCTTTTATGGTAGCAGGAATCGAAATTCTGATAAAAGTTCTAGTAATCGATGCCCCTCAATACCTTGCATTAGTAGGAAACGATTGGCTTGGAAAAGCACACGCCAATCTAGACTATCATCACAATTGGCTATTAATTGCTTTCGAGGGAAAAGAAGCGTCAACACCTATCAGTTACTACAAACATAAAGAGTTAGAACTCGACCCTTATAAACCCATGGTCGAATACCAGACCATAACAATGGATGAATTAATCGACCGAAAAAAGAAAGCACCAACCAAAGGAAAACAACGGTGGAGACGACCAGAACTCGAATGTGTCGAATGTGGGAAGAAATTATCTTCCATGTCTACCACCATACATCCTGATGAAAACTGGGGCCAAGAAATCCAATATTATTGTAACAGGTGTAACAATCGATGCTTCGGCTATCACGAGAATAAAGGGCTATGGGATGGGACCCCTTGCCTATTATGTGGCAAAAATATGCCAGACAAATATTGTTGGGAAGATATTCCAGGGGAAGGAGACGTCTGCGATCAAACTTGCAAGTACGCCTACTTAATCAAACGATGGGTTCACAACGGAACTCCTTTTCAGGCTGCTTTCTGGAGAGCCTGTGATCGCTTAAATGAAGAACCTGAAGAAAACGAACAATTGAAACGGTTAGCTCTTAGATTTTTGGAAGGAGGATCAAGGGAAGAGATCCGACAAATGAAACAAGAAGAGTATTACACCTACCTTGACGA